GATGTGGGTGTACAGCCACTTGTTTCAGTTCCAATGAATGGGTCCTGTTGTCTGTACATCACTGAAAATAGCCCCAACTGCATCTTCAAACTTAAAAAATACGGGCGCTACTAAATACTTGTTATTTCTCCAGTAGTAGTTTAAGTAGAGGAAAATTTGAAAACTTTCCCGAAAATATCAATTTTTCTTGACACTCTAAAGTATAGGGAGAACACATGTGGATTTTACTCATTTCAAAACTTGAACCATCAAGCCAGGTGCAGTGGCATATGCCTGTAATCCCAGCAGCTTGGCTGGTTGAGGCAGGAGAATCACGAGTTCAAAGTCAGCCTCAGCAAAAGTGAGGCACTAAACAACTCAGTGAGACTCTGTCTCTAAATAAAATACAAAATAGGGCTGGGGATGTGGCTCAGTGGTCGAGTTCCCCTGAATTCAATTCCCAGTAGCCCTCCACGTAAAAAAAAAAAAAAAAATTAAAAATAACTTGAGCTATCAAATTTAAAACTATTTTGGATATAGCTTATGTTTGCTCTAGTGCACTTATTATTCAGATAATAATGTCATTCATATAGAAAACAGTTTGCATCATTAACTTTCTTAAAGTATTACTACAGACAAAATATTTAGTCAGCTAGGTATTTGGAAGTCAAAAGAAGGTTCTGTGATTTTGTATTCATTCAAGTTAATCAAAATGTGTATCTTTGTTGTCTTTTTACCTTTAATTTTTCTTTAATTTCTCCTTTTAGAACTTAATAAAAATATACTTAACTCATTAGATTTGTCATTTATGGGCATGTAAATAGAATACATTGTAAAGGTTATTGAGATATGTTGATTTTAGAATTAGCATTAATGGTAGTGTTAGCTGAAGCCAACAAAGTTATATTTGAAGTGAAAACTAATACAGTGTCAAGTTGAACGGCTTATCAAGTTTAATTTTGGAATTTTCCTTGTAAATTTACAAGGATGAGATGACCATAACTTCTGTTACACACCATTGGTGTTCTAGCCCTGGGCACCATTTCCTCTGCAACTAGGAGTCCTAAGTGGGTCCCTCTGGCCTGGTGATTCATAAAACAGGACTCACTGGCTTTGTTGTGTGTAACTTTTGTTATTTTCCCTAAAATGGCATTTTCAGAAACAGGTATAAAATCTGGCTGTGGTTTCCCAGATTCAGTCTGTCTCTTTGCAACCCTTAAACACTGTTGCAAAGTCACGAATTAAGAATTGGGAGAAATCGTCACTAGTGATGATTCTGAAGCGTGCTGCTTACTGACTGCTAACTGGTGGTAAGACCAGTTCTCCTTTAGAAAGAGACCTTCCCATGTGCCCAGGTGACCGAGAGGGTGGTGGCTAACAGAGACAAGCAGATCCAGAAAAATGAAAAGGATGAAGATGTTTTATCAAAAATGTTAGGTTTACTGGATACACAGATTTCAAATTGTGCACAAGACTTCTGGTTCAGCATTTCTTTGACCTTAGATACCTCTCCTGTCTGGTTAAAAAAATCCAGCCATTGGAGAGAAGATTGTTCTCATGGAAGCTAAGAAGGTGAGTCAGCCCTGACAGCACAGCTGCCTCAGGAGTATTTAGAGAATGTTCTAGAAGATATCATGGATTACGCTTTGTTCATAGGGGCAAGTCCAAAGCAAAGTGCATAAAAATGAAGTGAGGAGACAGGAGTTTAGCTCAGCAATGCAGGGACCAGCTCATGACCACCCGCTGATGTGGATGGTTCCCTGAATGTGTGCAAGTCAGGTCCCTGAGCACCAGGGCCTCAGGTGTCTCCCGTTCTCCTAGTGATAAGGCAGAGCCTGCCTGGCTTCCTGGACTGTTCTCTCCATGATTAAAACTATGAAGTTGATGCTGCCTCTGACTGTTTCAGCTAGGCAGAGTAATTGCAGAGGAGAAATGGAGCTCCTGTCCAGATGCTGATGCAGGCAGAGGAAGGATCCTTAGCATGGTAGTCACCAGACATGAAAGCATTCCAAACCAAAGGTCCTGCTGAGAACTGCAGGGCTTTGGAGAACACTTGGTAAAGTACTTGATGCTGAAATACAAATCCCACTTACCTCTGGCTCTCAGTCTCAGTTTTCCTCATAAGGTAGTCACTGTGCCCCTGCTGAGTGCCAGCTCCCCTGCTGGGAATTGATTAAAAATAAATAAAGCTCAAGACGTATTTAGAAAAAAACAAATAATCAAAGTGACCTTCTGCCCTGGTGTGCCAGGCGTGGCCTCACTTTGTCCCTGTTGTCCTGGCCTGTCCAGTTTGTAGGATACGTCGTATGGTCTTGGCTTACCACAGCCAACACCACATCCACTGACGCTGAGAGTATTGTACTGATTTTTCCCCTTGTTCCTGCACTTGGGTCCTTGATTAGCATTTGTCAAACCTTTCCAGTTACTGAAAAACTTTCTTATTTATTTTTTCCTTAAGAAATAGGACTTTTTCTACAAGTTGAAATGGTGTGTTCCTGGCATTATTCTGGGAAAAACAAACAAAAGTAGGAATGAGTTTCAGTCTGGCAGGAGCACGAGGGTGCTTCCTTTCAGGGTAGCCTGGGCTGACTGGACGCTTCAGGGAACCCTGCTGGCCAGACAGCAGGGCTCGCCATCTTCCCAGGGTCCACTGTCCACCTCAGTTAGTCCTGCTGTACTGGAGTAGGACAGTGGGAGAAGTCACCGGGGAGGGAACTACAAATGACTCTACTTCGTGTACAATCAGAGACATGAAAAATTATGCTCTATATGTATATCCTAAATTGAAATTCATTCTGCTGTCATATATAACAAATTAGAATATATAAATTAAAAAAAAAGAGAAATCCACCTGAATAGCACACCTGTTAGGCAAATGTCTAAAGGTGAATTTTAGAGAGTCAAAACTATTTTTTTTTTAAATCTCTTTCTACCTTATTTTAAAGTTGTGGTGCTTTTCCTTGAAATGTGAGTTTTATGATTCTTAAAATAAATTTTAGTTCATATTTCTTAAATCTCTATGACCTCAACTAATATTTACCAGTAAAGTAAATGAATATTGTCCAGTCTCATAGTATTAGCACATCGTTGGTATTAGCATGTCATTAGTATTCCAGTTTTTCTACTCCCCATCCCTGTGTATTCTCTAAGGTTCTTCAATGGCAGAGGAGGAAGAATTAGAAAACGTCTGTTTGTGCATCTGCCTGCAGCTGTCACGTAGAGATCACATCCTGTTTCCCTCAAAGCCAAACCTGAGCACAGGTTTGCAGACCACCTACTGATCCAAGATGCCAACTCACATATAAATAGTCTTTTTCTTTCTAGAGTGTTAAAATGATAATATTCATATCTTTGTCCCCACAACAAAGCCCAATAATGTTTGTCAGGGTCCTTGTGTGGTGTAACGTCAAGGAGCATTGACTTAAAAGGGCCAATGTTTAAAGATTTGATGATTCCTTGGCAAGGGTTGTGGAGGATCAAGAAGCATTTGGATACTTTGGGGAGAGCAGGTTTAGGCTCCCATGACCACACAGAAAATTTGGGCTGTTTTATTAGACCCAGCCCCATAGGGATAAGTTGGGTTTAACAGTACCTTCCTAGAACCCTATTCTGCCAAGTTGGATTCTTCCTGAAGCTGTCCTGTGCAGATACCTTAGGAGGTAGTCTCAGAAACTTGTCCTCCACCCATGCAAGGATGCTTGGGGAGAGGTGGGAGCCCCATCAGTAACCCAAGTCATTTTATGGGGATCAGAGTATAGGCCATCTGATGAAAACATTGGGTTTAACGTTTCATTAACAAGTCTTAAGAGAAATTCTCCTTAAATGGCTAATTTTAAGTAGCTATGTGTTCTTAAGGAGTAGGTTACCTGGTGAGCACTGCAGTCTTCTCACCCTCGTACCACCTGTGGAGGCGTCTCTTCACATTGTAAGAGCGCGGGCTCTGGAGTCTGGTCCGCTCTGTAGGTCTGGTGGGTGTGCCTGCGATGCCCCTCAGCTCCTGGAGCTCGGCGTTCCCCACTTGAGGAACATGGAGCCGTTGCTCCCCCCTGGAGAGAATGAGCCCAGCCCAGCCTGTGCCGCGCTCTTTCTCGTGGGTGGTGCTCACCCTCTTAGGCCAAATGTATATCCTCTTCTTCTCATTAGAAATATCCACTTTCCATCAAATGCATTAAAACCATTTTAAGAAACCATAATTCAGCACTTTCTAAAATTAGGGTATCTATTTTAAGCCAATCATAAAATAATTCTACAGTGTACCTCAATCTTGACAATTTATCAGTCCTGAAAAAACCCAGTGATGGTAGGAAGCCAGGCTTCTTTCTGTGATTATCACTGCAAGTTTCCACAGAATAACCTGCCATCAAAACATGCAACAAGCAAATAGCTCCTCTTAAAATATGTTTATTTTCCTAAGGCCAAAACATGGGTCAAGACTGGTGGACAGATGATCATAGGTTTTATTTTACAGATAGTTGGTTAGAATTGTATTTGCAGTTAACAACATGTAAATTTAGTGACTGTATTCTAATGGACTGTTAGGGTCATGGTAGTTCACATTTCCCCTTGAATCTGTAGCTAAATAGGTGACTTTTAGGTCACTGTGAAGGAGCTTCCCCTCAGAGCCATGGGTGTCCATGTGCCATTGATGTGTCCACATGTTCTCGTGCCTGGTGGGCACAGGGCAGCTGGGGTTTTCATGCCTGCACTCTGGCGGTGCTCACGCCTTTCACCCAGAGTGGTGGCCTGCCCGGAGCACACTAGGAGCCAGCTGGCCTCTCTGCTGCGCAGATATTGGGCTCTCAGGTTCCTATTGTGTCTCTTTGTAGTCTTCTAAGAAGAGTTCAGGACTCTAGACACACCGGGAAGTAACAAGGAATAACACTGAAGACAGCTTAGAAATCTGTGACTTCTGTATTCATGTCGTAAGATACGGTGTCGAGGGTCATCGGGATCATGGGCCAGAAGCTCAAACCCAGGCCTTGCTGTGCTGACCTCGAGTTTGCCTCGGCTTTGTCTTCCAGGGCCCACCCGGGGACCAGGCTGCTCTCTTTGCTGCACAGGCTCGGCCCTCCCCTCAGCCCCCTCAGTATCCAGGGCTGCAGCAGGCACAGGTACCCACACCAGCTTAACAGGTCTGCGGGATCTCAACACTCTTTATGCACAGAAGGAGGCGAGGACGTTGGACATCAACTCCCTAATGGACCAGAACTTAGTTACCTCTACTTATGGGTTATACTTGACATTTTAAGAAAACTTAACTAATAATTGTTGAGCAAGTCTCAGGATTGACTAAGGGGCATGAAACACTTTAGGGGAATTATTGAGTTAAAAACATAAATAAATTCAAACATCTTTGTTGATGATGATAGATGTAAAATGTGTGGCAGTCAGAGAGTTACTTATGATATAATTCATGATAGAAATGGTCATACTCAAAGACAACTCAGATGAGGAATCGCGGTAGAACAGCAAGAAGGTGGGCCTTGGAATCAGACCTCAGCTATTCCTGGCAGTTCCTAGCTGCGCATGTAAGCCTCAGCTTTGGTTTCCTTCTGTAAAATAGAGATGAAGGATGTGAGGATCTAGAGAGCCTGTCTACAAACCATGTACGCCGTAGATGCTAAACATGTAACACATTATCTAAATGGAAGAGGAATCTGGGGCTCTTTTTTTCTAATAATGCTGTTATTTCTGGGTTCCTATGCTCTCCTGTAGTTCTGTCATGATCAGAAGCCCAGTATTGTTGATGTGAGTCCTGTTGGGCTGCCAGCTCATTCACGGTGTGCTGAGACCGGCTGTGGTCCAAGCAAGACAGGAAGGTGTTGAACAGTTACCAATTATGTCCTTCCTTCCTCCCATTAATAGATTAATAGTTTCTGGTTTTTCTTTTTTTTTTTTTGGAACTTAGTTGGTTATGACAGGCACATTCATCAGACCCAAAAAGGTACAATCACAGGTTGGGAAAGTGTACTCCGTTATTTTAAATTCACATTGAGCATGGGTAGGCTTCTGGCTAACTTTGGGGTTGAACATGGATGTGTCCGTGCACTGGAGGTCGCCTGCTTGTACACAGACATGTGTCCTTCCTTTCCTCAAACAGAGCAGCTGACCTGGAAACCCAGTTTGGCCAAATGACAATTCACGTATTTTAACTAAAACTTTGGGTGCATGGCCTGTCACTCTTTGGCTGGCTTTTTGGCCAGACTCCCTGCCTCCAGAAAAGTCTTTCTTGTACTTGAGTCCTAAGAGCCTTTGAAGACAGTGCATGTCAGAGAGGTCCTGTCGGGTCCTGTGCCCCACGTGCCCCAGTGGTGCCTGGGGCGCTGACTTGTCCCCTTTCCTCCCTGCAGACCATGCCCCAGGGCTACACCATGTACGGAACCCAGATGCCTCTGCCACAGCCCGCACAGCCGCAGGCCGGCGTGGTCCTGTCCCCCAGCTATGGCTCCCGGGCCTACCCGGCCGCACACTCCAGCCCTGCGCTCATGGAGAGACTGAGGCAGATGCAGCAGCAGCCCAGCGGCTACGTACAGCAGCAGGCCCCGCCCTACCTGCAGCCCCTGACGGGCACCCAGAGGTGACACGAGGAGGGACTGTGCTTGTGTTTGCTGTGCCTCACCTGGGGCATGGCAGCTTGGTGGCTCGTGGGCCTGTGTGCCTCCGTGTGCTTGACATGCTGCTGCTCAGTTTCAGTAGCATCCACGGAGCCCCAGGCAGGAATTCCTCATCTCGTTTATTTCCTTCGCTCAGGGGCCCCAGCTGGGACTACTTCTTCCATGGGATGGATGTCCTGGGCTAGTTAGCACTAGTATTCTCTCCCCCCTTTCAAAGAGTGTTTATCTTTTCATTAAAAGCATCTGAGTGACTACTGATTGTTATTGGAAATGTTATACTAGAGTTTGCTGCTCAGCTGCAAATGTATGGTTGCAGGACCGGTTGGGCCTGGTGCACATGAGGGTCTTGTTATAACTGAGTTGTCGCCTTTCCCACCTCAGGGATGGTTGGAGAAATGGGATCCCCATGGATTCCAGGGTTCCTGTTGTAACCAGGTCCCTTAGACCCAGAGTATTACTGCCCACTACCACACCCGCTGTGCATACGTGGCTGTTTAAATATAGACCAATGAAAATTGAAATACACCCTGAGTTCATCCTTCACACTAGTCAAATTTCAAGTGTTCGGTAGCCATACATGGCCAGCAGGGGCAGCCAGGGCCTGGGCAGTCACTCAGGGTTGTGTTATATAGGCACCTTCTTGGAAGGAAGCCCTGCAGTCGTGTTCTGCATCAAGGCCTGACAATTAATGTCACCAGTCCTAGTGGCCTTCTTATTTCAGTCATCATAGGCAATTCCATGGGGTGACACTACCCAGAAGAGTTAAGAGAACCTTGCACAGCCTGGGCCCAGGTGTCCATCAGTGGCTGTGTGTCAGCTGCAAGTAACCCCAACTATGAAACACTGGGACAGCTGACGGATGGTAGCACATTTAGGAAAATAAATTAATTTGGAAATATGTATTTCCAATTTCATTATATTTCCTACTTTTATAACTAGTAGCAGCATACTGTTACCTCGGGAGCTTGAACTTCAAGTCATCCGTTCTGGGTTCAAATGCCACCTGTGCCATCTGCTGTCTGAGGAACCTCAGTGAGGGTTCCTCTCCACCTCTGCTCTCTCATTCCTAATGTGGGGAGCGCACAACGCTAAGCGCAGGCGCTGTTGTGGGAGGAGCCGTGCAGTCAGACCTCCGCACAGGGCCTGCTCCAAGGCCGGTGTCCAGTGAGTGAGACTCACTGTTAGCAACTACTTCATTAAAAAATTAGTCTGCACATGAGTGCTATTTTAAGAGGCCTGTTTGCTTTCCTTTTTTCCGAGTGGTCACGTCTCTGCCTTGGCCTCCAGTCTTTTTCCCTTGGCATGATGCGAGTGACCATCGACCGCCGAGGGCTGCTCTGCTCTGTGAGCGTGGATTGTGTCCTGGTGGCACTCATGGTACAAGTCACACTGTTCTTTGCCAGGATGAACCACCAGGCTCTGCAGCAGAGCCCCCTAGTGGGCGGGGGCATCGATGCCATGCTGACGCCTGCACACCCGAGCCTCCCCTCCGTGCCCCTGCCTCAGGACCCCATGAGGCCCCGGCAGCCGCAAGTTCGACAGCAGCAGAGACTCCTGCAGGTATGGGGCAGGGAGATGAGGGCAATTCTGTCTCTTTATACAGAACAGATCCGCAGTAGTGGTGCTCCTGATTTCCATGGTTGAGTTCCAAGGAGCCCGTGTGTTTGACACTCAGACCTAAACTGGTGCAGTTTATCCCAGCTTGGCAGGGTTTCCCTCTCTCTGTGCTTCTGCCCTGCCTTGGGCAGAAGTGTTTCATAGCATCTCCTCACTTTCTCAAAGGCCCCGGAGGCACTTGGGTGCCTTTGATTTGAGAGCAGAAGCCTCAGCTCCCCCAGCCACTGTTTAACCAGGGGCTGCCATTGAGTGCAAGTTCCCTACATAGGAAAAAGATACAAACAAAGGCTATGAAATCAGGGATATAGGGAGGAATTTGCAAAGGGACACTTCCTTTGTCTCTGTTAGAATTCAGAGATCTGTCCTTCACTTATTTAATGTAAATACTCACAAGTCCCAGACAAAAGCTTCTCCAGCACGTTCTTGCTTCTTTGTTCCTTTTTAAGAAACGCGGGCTGCATGGTCCTGTGCCCTTCCTCTTTATTGTCCACAAGGCTGCTTCCTACTGTATTACCAGCTGGTCCTGGGCTGGCTTGGTGACTTTCTGGAGGGACCAACCCTGCTCTTGCCCTCTTACCAGTCCACCTGAGATGCAGTGCTGTCTTAGGTACTACAGGGAAGGGAGACATCAACAACTTTGGGGCATCTAGTAGAGCTGGGGTGCTCTAGGGCTGTGCTCTGGGTGGTTAACAGGAAGGAAACCTGTCACACAGGGAGGGACAGCAACAGAGTTTGCCTGTCCCAGGCTTGGCACTGGATGAAGGAAAGAACAAACATCTCCTTGAGAATTTGGACCCTAAACTCAAGTAGGTTTGGGGTCTGAGTCTAGTGTGACCTACAGATTTCTGGTTGATGGTATCCCAAAGTGACAAGCAGAAACCAACACAAATTCTTTGTAGGCTGAGTTTCATAAGATGCCATCAGTGGTAAGATGCCATTAGTTGCATCCTAATTTTTGACCTGATAAAATGTTTAAAAAGTTGCATCAGGGAACTGGTAATATATAGTTATTGACCTGGAGGAGTGTGGCTAGTAGACGTGCAGTCCCGTCCAAGTGTAAATGTCATCTCCAAGATGGTAAAAAACCCTCTAATCTCCAGTTTGTAATGGAAATAATACTAGTGCCTTCCTCTCAAGTGTGTAGCAAGGTTTAAATAAGGAAATTCAGGTAAAGCACTAGTTTGGTCATGTTGCTATTAATGTTTTTACTAACGTGACTGTTAATACTCAAGAGTGGTATTTTCTTATATCATCTTTCCCCACCCCCCTCGGTTCTTAGGATATATTTCAGAATTTTTTAGGACTGTTATTTGTATTTTTTTTTTTTTATTATTTTTTATCATTTCCAAGTCACCAAGGAAGGTGGCAGTGCTGTCACTTTTCTACTTCCTGCCTTGGTATTTTTCAGACCCAAGCGTAGAGAACCTGCCTCTCCTGGGGGCCGGGGGCTTCTGTCTCTTCTAGTGTGTGTCCTGTGGTAATTCTTCTTACCCACAGTATATTCCTCAGAGATTCAGACAATACTGGTTTGCTCCTGTGAATCGGTTTCTCCTTTTTGGGGATCGATTATCTCCGTCGGGGACAATCTTGATGCTCTGAAGTCATATTCATCTCTCATGAGGTCTCTTGTGAGGCCACAGAGCCGTGGGGAGCCTTGGGGAGCCTTGGCTTCCTCGTGCTGAGCATCCAGTTCAGTTTGTGTTGCTCGTGTGGGGAGTGGCCCTGGCCAGGGCTCTGCAAGGTTTCCATGTCCTCCACCATGGTCCCTTAGTGTCTGTCAGTGGCTATTTATTACCCTTCTCAAAAAGGACAGATAATTTGGGGCATAGAATGTAGACCAAATGGAAAAAATTAAAAGGATGAGAATCTCTGGGTCTGTCACCCCCAGGAAGAAGTGTTTGGACGGAACACTTGTTGAAGGTCATGGGGAGAAAGCAGTAGCTCCCATTTCCTGAGTCACGACTGGTGTCTTGCCTGTGGCTTCTGTGACTCGGAAGGTTTCCCAGAGCTGAGCATTTGAGCCAACCTTGTCAACGACATGGTTCCAACTTTACACTCATCATTTGTGCCAGAACATCTTCCAGGCGTCCTTTAAAAAATTAAGATTGAATCCCCAGGGGTCTCCTGTCATATATCACAGGGAAAGAAGGGAGGCTGCCTGTAGGTGCTTGTCACCTGGGGTTGTGAGGCAGGTAGCATGCCTGCGGAAGGGCACATGGCATGAAGGAAGCCACACAGCAGGTGCACAGGGTGTCCCTGTCCCTGTGAGCAGTGTCTCCCGTGAGCAGTGACTCCCGGGGGAGACTTGCAGGACTAGGGCGGTCTGAGAAGGCTTTCAGGAGGGACATATGGAGGTGGATTTAGGTCTTGCCCTTGACAGTGTTGCCAGGGGGCAGGTGGAAGAGGCAGGATCTAGTCATGCTCCCATATGATATTTTGGTCAATGACCAATTGCTTATATAAAAGGTAGTCCCATGAGATAATAATGTCCCCTAGTGACATTATAGCCTTTATTATCACCTTAGCACAACACAGACATCTTTGTGGTGATGGTGGCGTAAAGACACCTGTCACACTACCAGTTACAAGTGCATAGCACATACAGTCAGGGACTGGACGTGATTCTCGGTGATGACCAGGAGTGATGGGGTCCGACGTCTGTGTTGGCGGTGGCCTGATGGGTCTTGTGTTCGCCACGTCTCTGGAGGGTATCACCGTCTCTTTTGCTTCACACAGTCTGACTCACACCCCCAGCCTGGTGTGTGGTGGGCTACGCCATACTGCCTGGTTTGTGCAGGCATGCTCTGTGACGTTGGACAGTGACAAAGTCCCTAAAGACACATTTCCCAGAACGTGTCACCTTTGGAAAGCCGCACATTTGTTCTGCAACAGACAGTGAGATAAACTGTTAATGGAGCTTCAGGGTGACATCCCCCTCTCCTTTCAAGGGCATAATCCTTTATCTTTCTTTGCAGATGCAGCAGCCCCAGCAGCCCCCCCAGCCCCAGCCGTCTTCACAGCCCCAGAGCCAGCAGACCCTGGGTCTCCAGGCAGTGCAGCCCCAGCAACCCCTGGTAAGGCCTGTGTCTGGGGACCACCTGGGTTTCGTAAAGGCTGTTGCCTTCTCTGCACCTGTCACTATGGAGAATTGGAGTTTCCTAAACGTGCCAGCAGCTTCTCTCTAGGACCATGCCAGGGTTGTGGTGGTGGTGTTGGTGTGTTTGTTTACATAGAAGGGTACAAATAAATATTTGGGGTTCGATAGGTTACAACATTTTCCTCTTTTAAAAATTTGAGATTATTCCACAGAATAGATACTTATACTTATAAGCAATATTAGGTGATGATATAGTTTATCTGTTTAGAAGATATCTGGAAATATCTGAAAACAAATGGAAGGGGAGGAAGGAGGTGCCAGGTGCACTCCGTCCTCCAGCGGAGGGCTTACGGGCTCTGCCAAGATGGGTCACTGGTCACCTCATTGGGAGGCGCTGGTGCAGGTGGTCTTGGGCACAGGGTCTGAAGGTGGAGTAAGGCAGGAGCTTATGGCGAGGAGAAGGCTGTTAGGAAGGACTGGAAATAAGGGATCAGGTGAAGCACGGGGTGGACCTCTGGCGTGGAAGGGTGGGGGTCGGCTTGAATGGGACATCCCGCTCCTTCAACGAGCCTCTGAGATCAAGAGGAGGAGCTAGACTGGCGAAGGCAGAGACTGGCCGGATGTGCTGGACGCCGGCTCCCACTCCTTCTGCGGAGGTGTCTGAGGTGCGCTGCAGCCCACTTCACAGGTCCCTTCCACAGTGGAGGTCGCACATGGACATCCCACTCACCCTGAGGCTGTCAGTAGACGTTGCTGGCCCTGCTGTGCACGACCCATACCAGAGGCTCTTTGGACTCCCTGGGACCTGCTGTTCCACCCAAGAACAATTAGTTTGAAATTATTTCAAACTAACAGAAATGTTCTAAGAATAGTATAAAATTGCCCTAAACTCTTCCCAGACTCACTGGTCAGCACCCTGTGCCATCCTGCCTTAGCCTATGCCCGCTCCTCCTCCGTGCACGCCTCCCCTGGTCTGCACACAGGAATGGGTCGCAGACACGTGCCCTTCCCTGCTAAATACCTCAGTTTATTTCTCCAGAGCAAGGCTATTCTTTCACAAAAGCATGATATGGTTATTAAGATCAGGAAATAGGACATGACTCGGCGCTCTCATCTGTACGTCTCCTGCCAGCGCCCTTGTGTCTGTGGTGACAACTGCACTGGTCTCTCTGGACTTGGGATCAGCTTGCCCTGGGTCTGGCTCTTGTGTGTTCTCCACCTTCCACGTGGACCGGTTCCAGCCCCAGGTCCGCGTGTCTTCATGATGGTGGCACTCCTGAGACATGGAACATTGCTCTGTTGGCTTAGTTGCATAGGTAGTTGTGTTTAGAATCACCTTGCGCATTTCTGAGGCGCATCACAGGTGTCATTGTCCCTCTCAGCGAGTCACACTAGAATATACACTGGTCCTTCTTCGGGGATGTGACTTTGATCCCTGTGTGGGGGTGGTGCCTGGTAGGTTGCTCCTGCCCAGATCCACTGACGACTGCTGTATTAACATGCAGTTTGGGGGCAGCTGGGTACTGCTCATCTTGCTGCTCACCAAACCTTCATGTGCTTCTAACTGGCATCAGTTAAAGTTGGTGATTTTAAAAATCTCTTTCCACTAGGTATGTTATGACATCAAGCAGTACTGACACATAGTAGCCTCACTCCTTTCTTCTTTTGTACAACAAAACACTCTGTTGGTGTTTGGCCAGAAAGCCAAAAGATAAACCACGTTTCTGTAAAATATGTCATAATGAGTGTTTGAAATATTTGATGCTGACCTGGCAAATTCTTAGCCTTTGTTTTTTTCTTTCTAATTTAAAACCAAGACTTCTCACGCTGTAGTGCTCTTATTAACTAGGAGCAGAATTATGCAAAGTTAGTTCTAGTGGAAATAACTATCATGTAATTACACCTTCTCAGACATTTATTGCAGATTAGTGAATGGGCACTTGACTAGTAATTATAGGGAATCCAATAATTTGAGAATTAAAATTTCTTCGTCTACTAAGTAGTTGCATGATGCCCCTGTTAACAGAAAAGCAGGCTACACTGAGCCCTCCACTGTCTGTGACTGTGTGACAGTAGAGTGTTCCACATATTCAGCTTTTTAAATTTTGATTGAGGCATGTATAGAAATAACCTTATGGGAGTCATATGATATGTGGCTTATAAATAATAAGCTCTCTATTTAATCTGCATATTCAATTCATGTGTTTTCCCTGTATATTGACAATCTGCATATTTATTCATTCTGGTGTAACCTAATGCCCTGAGACTGTTGTACTTTCTTAAAGAGCCAGCCTTTGTCTGGGGGCACAGGTCCTTATGTAGTGACTGGCTTCAACTGAACACCTGGGTCAATACCTGCAATTATGCAAACTTTGGCAGGACCTCTCCCAGTGGTCTTTCTCTTTGGCCTTTCACCCTCTGTTATTAAACCTCATTCTGGTTGACTTTTAATAGGAAATATATAAAATATGTATCAAGGATATGAAGTTAGTTTATTCTTAGAGGGTAATGCTACGTTGAGTCACAGATGGACATCAGCACCACGTGCCTCACATGGAATACATTATCATTTGTGTGTGTATGGTAACAGAGTTGGTTCTGTCCCAAAGCTCTCTTTACAGGAAAGGGTAGAGATTATCTTGAAACCTCTTACAGATTGAGCAAGTTAGTCGGAGCATGGCATATGACTTTTTCCTCATGCTTATGGGAAAGAATGTCAGAAAAACAGAAATTGTCACTCATAGTGATTTTGCGGGACAGTAAAACCCACAGCAGACTTTTTAGGAGGCTTTTGTTCTCAGCTGAAGACTTTAATGCCGTCTTGATAAGCAAATGTCTTATTTTTTATTTAAAGCACTATGTTGTAGTTAGACTATAACATTTACAATTACAGTACGGAGACAAAAATATTATAAATGTATAATTCTTAGGGTAGGCAAGGAAATTTAAATTGTTTTTTTAAATTTTAGATGTTTAGACCTGGATTGTGGTATTTCAGGGTTGGAAGTTACAGGGGCAGTCAGTCGCCTGGACTCTTGGGTTGTGGCTCTATTTAGTGTGCTGTATCCAGCATGCCCATGTTTGTACACTCGGAAGTTCACGAACACGGTCCTGTGTTTGTGACTCCTACAGCTCTGAAGTCAGTCCTCGGCTGCTCTGGGTGGTCACCCCACTCACAGTTTCAGACATTGTTCTGCTGAGGGAGTTTAAGATCTTTCCTCTTCTTTTTTGGTCTTGTCACAATAACAGAGTAGAGTATATAATAAGGAGAAAACATCTCTCTAGCGGCTACACGTTCACAGCAGCAATGGTCAAAGCCTTAGCCGTATGAGCAGAAACCACATGTTCCCTTTGATCTTTTAGGATTCACTAGGTATATCGTATGCATCAGGAATACATTTATTTATATTTATGATAAACATCTGAGCAGACCCAGTGTGTGGTACTGGCCCATGTACTGTGTTCTGTCCCTCCCTCTGCTGGAGGAACAGCAGTGGGCCAACTGTGGCAGGGGGTTCTGGTTCCTGCCCTCTCAAGGGAGGGGTAAAGGTACCAAGCATGGTCCCTGTCCCCAGAGGAGCCCTCAGGAGGTGATCAGCAGCAGCACTGCACGTGAAGAGGAGCGTGTGGCTGCTGGGCTCCTGGTAGAAGAGGCCCAGGGGCTGTCTTAGTTTGCTGGGACTACTCCAGAGAACACAGTCAGTGGCTTAAATAGCAGAGATGGACGGTGCCTTGCTTTTGGAGGTGGAAGCCCAAGATCAGCTTGTCACCAGGGCTGGCTCCTAAGTGCCTAAGGCGAGTCTACCCACGCCTCTCCCACGGCCCCCGTGGCTCATGGCTATCTCTGACCTTCTGGGCTTGCAGACCTGGGACTCTGCACTGCTCTCGCCTGGCCTTCTCACTGCATGCACACCTGTGTCAATTCGCCTTCTTGGGGACACCATCCTGGTCTAGATCCCACTGTATGCCTCTTTCTAACTCCATCACCTTTATAAAGACTAAGCAGGTCACATTCTGAGGTACTGGGGGTTGGACTGTGTCATATTGTTTTGCAGGCACAGTTCACCCTGTGACAGAGGTCACAAGAGAGTTTGGGAGCCTTGATGGAGGAGGTGAATGGTGGTCACCTGGACAGGCAGCTGGTTTGAGTGGTTGCTCTTTGGCTCCTCCCTGTTGGTCTCTTTTGACAACTCAGAAGATGGCCTCCCCGGGCAGCCCCATTGCCTTTTGAGACCCTTTCAGGATCACCTTCGTTTTGTGCCATGTTGTTGCAATGCTAGAGATCAATCCAGGGCCTCTCACATGCTGGGCAAGCACCTGAGCTGTGTCCCCAGCCCTGCACTGCTTCTTACAGCCACCAGGAGACCCCCATTCATGTCCCAGCACTCATCCATGAGCTTCCTGGATACTAGCTACTGCCTGGGCTCTGCAAGAGCCTGCATTGCTCTATTTGAAGCAGGCTTTTAAAGGACAGAGGAAGGCAGCTAAGTATTTACTGAATAAGTTTGATATTTATGCACCGTGTACCCAAACATTTTAATCAAATTAGACAGTTCTGCAACCAACCATTTCAAATCTATAATCATTTCCAAGTGTTTGAAAGCTGCTGTTTCCAATTAAGGATGGCTTGAAGGGACAGGAGAGACAGGGAAGTGTTGGCTAGTGGCTACTGTGTCAGAGCAGAAGGGCAACTTTTGATCATCTAGGCACCTGGTGGAGGTGAGCGGACAGTGGTCTCTGAACTTCCAGGCCCCTCTGGAGTGTTGTCCTCCTGCATCAGGACTTGTAATAGATTCCAGCTAAGGCAGAGGGCTCTCTGGAGTGGGTGGGCACTTCAGCTCTGTATGAGATGTGCCAGGGCCTAGACAACGTTGATGTGTGTACTCTGGGTATGGCACTTTTGTCTTGAAGTATGGAAAGGTGCCTTCCAGACCATCCGACCCCAGGATGTCACCTGTGTTCCTCAGTGACTGGCTCTGTGGCCTAATTTCTGTCCTTTCTCCTATTGCAATTGCAGTTCCCCAGGCCAGGCTTGCAGCAGACCCAGCAGCAGCAGCAGACGGCCGCACTGGTGCGGCAGCTCCAGAAGCAGCTTTCTAGTAAGTCCTCGTCTGGGTGGACGAACTGCCTGTCCTGTGTGAGCTCAGAGGGAGACACCCTGGGGGGCCAGTTACCCCAGCCCAAGGCCTCGCCTGGGCAGGTGTGGGATTCTCCTGTGGAGCTGGGTCCTCTGCTGAGTTCGGTGGTGCTAGTTGGATCTTCCACGAGAGGCTTCCAGGGCGAGATGTGCTGTGGGCAGTGGGTCTGATCGCTGCACCCGAGGTGTCCTGAGAGCAGTAAGAGGAAAGCACTTACCTGCAGCACACTTTGTACCTGTGACGGCATGTGACTCTTTCTTTCATAGGTAACCAGCCGCAGCAAGGAGTGACTCCCTACGGGCACCCTTCACACTTCTGAATCGGGAAGACAACCTGCAGTTTTGTGTTTGCACTGAAAAGTAGAAAATCAGAGTTAATGTGTCAGTCATCCTGAGAATGTCCCTTTGGTCTTTCATTTCTTTGGTTTCTTATATTTTATATTTCATATGGAGGTGTTTAAACAAAAAGCAAAGGAGAAGTTGTGCTTTGCATTCAGCATTGAAGGAGGTTTGGCAGTGTGGCTGATGGCTCAGGCAGACCTCCTCCCCGCGGATGGTGGCAGCAGACCTTTGAAATTGGTGCTTTTTCTTTTTTTTTAAAGTCTTCTAGGTACAGAAAGAATGAATTATGGTGGGTTTAAATATTTATGGGTTCATTAATGATTGTTTTGCTCTTTTGCAACTGTGCTGGACCAACTTCTGACTTGAAAGGCAGATCAGGTCTTGACAGGAAGCAACCCATTCATTCTGCATTCACCTGTGATGGGCAACTGGACATTAATCTGCGTCATTATAATTTGAAATATTTGTAATTTCATGAGCACTTTATAAACTTTCTTATTTGTGTAGGACTTTGCTTTGCTTTTGTTGTGGTCAAAGGTGCTGAACCAGGTTGTTGCTTAGTGACTTCTACAATCATGACTTCCATGGGAGCCTCTTGGAAGTTGCTGCACCTGACTTTGTTTTCAGTGGTGAGAGCATGGACCAGAGTCTTCAGGAAGGTACAATATGTCAACCTTAAACACCTGGAAGGACCACCGTGGAATTGTTCCTGTATTTACTGCCAGTTTTGGGAAAATGACTGTCCAGATTTGGTTCTCTAGAGCTTTATGCCACCTAGAGTGAAAATCTCGCAGCTGGCTAGAGAGTCCACAGAGCTCAGACTTGACATGGTTTCCAGAGACCCTGGCCCCAAAGTCCAGAAGGCTCTGGTTTTCATAAAAGGTGTATTTGCTGTTAATTTTGTATGGTAAGTATTTGCTACTTTGAATTTAATTATTAATGTTGGTGTCAGTCTTGGTTGTGTAATGCATATACTGTATTTATAAACTGGTGCAAAAAGCACAAGTAAATTATACATTAAATTTATTATAAAGAAATAGTAACTATTTTAACTTTGTTCAAGTATGTGGTAATTTGCTCCTATTAGAGTAAAGAATACAGTAAATTATTATCAGTTTGTGTAACTTAAGAGTATTCCATATAATATTTTTTTAGATTTAGATGCATAAAATTTTGAATGTGAAAATTGCAGGGCATTTTAAAAAACACATGTGGGGGATATCTTCCCATGTTCTGTGTTACTTCATCTTTTTGCCATATGATTTTACATGTAGTCACACATACTGTGAATAGATTCGTCCAATGAACAGACCACATAGAACTACTTTTTTTAAAATGTAGCTAGTTCCACTTAAGTAGATCATTTCTTTTGCGAATCATTCTGTAAGTAATTCACATCTTCCTGGGTGAGCTACTCATTGCAGTTTGACTCCTGCCAATGACCTCAAATTCACGTCAGCTTCCTGTGCTATGGCAGCATCCGTGTGAACTGCTTTTGTACACTGTGAAGACATTCACTCCAGCCTGCCCCAAGAGGTGTTTACTCTGGGCTGGAACAGACTTTGCCAAAACATTAAAGACCATTCTTTTCACTAAATTAACATCCTACCTGCTTTCAGAAGATGTACCTTTACATTTCAGCTGCTTGTATAGATCAGGTTTTACCCTCTCCAGAATCATACTCAGAGTTCATGAAGTTATTTTTTTCTGGAGTGGTGGGTATGTCTGGTGACTCATGGGCAGAATCCTTGAAACATGAAAGTTGTGCCTAGTGAGTGAGTCCTATTCTGTTTTTGGTCCTTGTTTAAGAATCATTGGTATGTTGAGGGCAAATTTTCAGTTTGAACCATTAATCGTTGTAGCTCAGTATTGCAAACAGTGGCAATACTGTGTGAGGAGTGAGTGTTATCATTGCATAGCATTTGTATGCACTTTACATTTTGCAGAAGTTTATTTATTAATCATTTTGCACATGAAAGCTATGGGGAGTACCTTTGTGGTTGCATTAAGGTGAGGAAGCTAAGTCTTGAGTAAGTCCCTATAATTCTGAAACGCTATGGAAGGTTTAGGAAAAACTAGAGCTGTTTTCTTCTTGTGCGTTATAAGGAAAGCAATTGGAACTTTTAAGTTAGTCATATTTCTCTATCCTGACATGTTTCTTTTGTAGCAAATGCATTAGTTTGCATTAAAGTGTTCACAAGGGAAAGCCCTGATACAGAACCTTGTGATTTGCTCGGTAAGTTGCAGAGAGATTAGACTAATAATACAGAGACCCCAGCCCATTTAAGACAAGACCTTGAAATCTAAAGGAAGTGGGTACCCCTATCAAAACGCCTGGATGTGAGGACCCCTTGGACACACCACTTACGTCATAGGCTTGTTCCTCATCAGGTTGCCTCTATCCTTTTACCTACCCATCTTGGTTCAGCAGTAGAGGGAGATCACTGTCCAAGTGTCCTTTGATCTCTTGCCACGCACTGGATACCCAGATTGGTGGCAAACAGGTGACCTCTGAAAGGGAGTTCATCCTCATGTCTCAAGTGACTGGCAGGGCCAACGTGTCTCAGTGTCCTTAGCTATTTGTATAAGAGCCATGGCTTTTTCCCATTTATAAGGCTCTTATAATCCTAAAATAATAGGTACAGATGCTGGAGAAATTATATTGGAAAACCCCAGCCTCTAGAATTAGAAAAATAAATCATAATGTCCCCCAAATTAATTCAGATTGAATTAAGCGTGCAATACAAATAGTGAATTACAAAAAGCAACATTTTGTGTAGGGTTGATCAAATTTTAAATACAGTGAAGCTTCATTATATAATAATTTAAACTCTCCCAAACATTTTCCCAGTGCATAAAGAATTATTGCATAATGAAATGAAATGCCCAAGAGGAAGATTCCTCCCCAGAAAACTTTCCTTATGAACAGCTCTGAGCCAGGAGTTCCCGAGCTAGAGCTTAGTCATAAAGGAGCTTCATTGTATTTTAAAATCTTTTTAATGGACAGATTTGGACAAAGATATAATCAGCCCCTTTTCACATTTTATGGTGTGTGCTAAATTGCTTTTTACAGGTGGAAAAATTAGCCTGCATTTATTTTTAAATCAGTTATTGAAACGTTTTTGTATTCCCCATCAACGAAAATTGTCATTGTGAACAAATGATAATTTGTCATCAAAACAGTTCAGTGCTTGTTTTCTGTAGGTTTAGCAAAATATTCATAAACCAATGACAAACTCTTTATACATCAAGATGGTGAGTTTGCATAAGGACTGTAGATTTAATCTGCCCCACTGACTGTCCCCAGTGCCATACTTGTAACACTGATAGAAGGTGACACTAGGCAACTGGTAGTAGAAAGAAAATCAGTTCATTCTTTACTGAAAAATTCAGGTGCATTAGCCATTTGTTATTTTATAGTGGACCATTTCCTCTTAATGTTTGTTATTTGTTGGCAAAATAAAAGTGCCTTAAGTTAAAAGTTTGTGTTGAGATCCATTCAAGAAATCAGTATCAGTTCATACTGCACTTAAGTCTTTTTTTGCATGTCCATTGTAAATTTAATATTGTAAATGTATCCAAGTTCATTTACATGCCTATGGCTGCCTTTGATTAAACTTCTTCCAAAAAATAAATTCTGTCCAGATGTTGACTTTGTTCAGTGCTCCTTTCGTTTCATGTCAGATGACTTGAATGTAAGTTGCTGCGGAGTCACTACCGAGGGCGTTCCTGGCTGTGCACCTGTACAGCCCCGAGTCCCAGGTCTGGGGATTCGGAAGGACTAGGGTGCCTTGCAGGTGAAGCTGCTCGCCCCCCTGGCTCCTCCCTTCTCTTGCCCTTGAGTGCTGGGAGTGGACAGGCATTTCCCAGGTGACTTCCGGCTTGGGGACTCCCAGAGCCACACAGTGGAGCTGAAAGGCCACTCCTGTCCTTGTGAGGACGCTCCTGGGAGGGCGGTTTGTGATTCGGGGCGGGTAGGCCACAATCCTCACTGGAAGAGTGATCAGTGCCTGGCCAACGCTGTTTTGTGCCCGACAAATATAATTCCCCCCGTCGTGGGCCGTTGCTTCCTTGATGACCAAGGTGCCATTTTCGTGCAGGGTGTACTTGCCATTACTTTGAGGCCTGTCTAGCACAGAACCACCTGGCATGGTCCATTTGATGTGTGGCTTTGGGATTCCATCAGAGACACAATGCAGCCATAGAGATTCCCCACCAAGGCCCCTTACAGTCCCTAGTGCGTACGTCACAATAACGGGCTTCTGCCCAATCTCTAGTATGATCAGTTTCTCAATGTAGCCCACTTGGTTCCTAGCTGCACACCGATATCTTCCTGCCTCTTTCCGAGTTGTCTTATGAATGAGGAAGGAGCCATTGCTTGCTACCAGATATGGAGAGAGGTGTGGTCCGTTAGAAAACTGGGTGCCGTTGGGGAGAATCCAGATTATTTCAGGAGGCGGGTTGCCATCCACAGAGCAGTTCAGTGCTGTGGGCTGTCCCAGCTGGGCAACCACTTTTTCATTCAAGGGGTTTCTGAAAGTGGGTCTCCTGAGCATCTCCAGGACCTCTAACCGCACCACCAGCTTGCTCTCTCCCCCTTCGTTCCGAGCCACACAGATGAAGTTGGCAGAGTCGGAAAGCCTCACGTTCCGGATTTCCAGGGTTCCGTTGGCATGGACTGTGACTCTGCTGCCGTAGTACGGGGCCGTGAGGACGATGCTGTCCGGCATGACCCACGTGACCTGGGGCGGTGGCGTCCCTTCGGCTCTGCAGTGCAGGTGCTTTTTGGAATGCCTCACGGCCGTGGCTTTCGTGACCGTCTTGTTGGCATAGATGCCGTTGATCATTGGGGGCCTGCAGTCGACGGCCACTGTGTATGTCTCGGTGTCATGCCCACTGGGGTTCTGGGCCACACACACATACTCTCCAGAATCCAGCGTCCTCACCTTGCTGACGGACAGAGACCCATTCGCGTGAACCGTGTACCTACCCCTGGAGGAGGAAATCGTGTCGCCAGATGGCAGCACCCAGAACGTCCCTGGCTTGGGCTCCCCCACAACCTCACAGTCGAGGACGGCCGTGTCCCCAGCTCGGAGCCTCACATTGGTCTGGTACCCCCGCCTTATGCGAGGGGCGGCTGTGAGCACGGTGAGGTGGACCCTCATTTCGTCCTTCCCCAGGGTGTTCTGGGCATGGCACGTGTAGTCTCCTTCCTCAGTGATCCCGACTTTGTGGAAGTACAAGGTCCCGTTGTCAAAAAGGGTGTACCTGCGGGCCCTGTGGCCGCTGTCCCAGGCTGGCACAGCCTGGTTGATCTTTCGTCCGTTCGGCAGACTCCAGGAGATCTCAGGCTCGGGGGAGCCGGAGGCCTTGCAGTCCACCTGGAAGTCCCGCCCCTGGAGCACTTGCTTTCTAAAGTGTGGCTTGTGGTGGATCTTGGCGGGCTTCAGCCTCAGGCTGACGTGCATCAGGGTCAGGTCGTCCCCCGCGCCGTTCCTGGCCACGCACAAGTAGTCACCACCGTCTTTTTCTGTCACAGATCCAATAAACAGGGACCCGTTTGGGTAGACGTGGAGTCGGCTGCCCATCCTAAGAGAACAGAGACGATCTGAGTGCACAACTATTAGCAGTGGGAGAAGGTTTTTTTTTTTTAAAAAAAAGAATTTTTAGAAATTGACATAAAAATTGTTCACATCTCTAGGGTACCACCTGAGGTAGAAAGTGGCTCCTGTGGGTTAGCTCCTCCCCGAGCCTCAATGATGCAAGGACAAAAACTGTCCAGCATCCGACGTGACATTTCCATACACAACACAAACTGCTACTACGACTGAGCTCATCTGCATACCCCTCACTGCAGGTACCTTTTGTGTATGTGTGATACACAGGATTAGTTTGTCACCTTTTTCTTAATCTGTTGCAATGAAAATTTAAACCAATCCTAGCTTACTGCTGTCTAAATTCTTTGCTGAAAGTGGGACAGGTACAATTTATTACAATCTAGTGGTGTTTTTAAAAAAAATTTTAATGGTGAGAAGAATGCTAGAAATAGGATTTTCTATACATCATGTTCCCTCACTATTTTCCACATCAAACTAATGGGTGCACAAAAGTTATTTTGTGCTGTATAAATTAGTAAATAAAAAAAAATCTCATACAAATTTGTTATATTATTGCCTGGAGATGTTTTTTAAAGTGTGTTAGTAGCAAAGCAATTGCTGGATTGCTTGTTAGAAAAGAAGTTCCCCTCTGTTATAAAGAGCAGGCCAAGGTGGGTTTTCAGTGTCTGTGTTGGGCTGTTCTCCAGAGCCACCCCTGCAGGCCAGTTCTCCAAGGGCACAGCCAGGACACAGCCTGCGTTTCCACACTTCACCACAGGATGGCAGACCTTTCCTGGAAAAACGAAATCTGTTTTCAGAAATTCAGTTGGTGCGGATTGAGATCTTGATCGTGTCCTTGATTGTCTCCTTGACTGCAGTCATGGACACTCATAGGGGACAATCATGTGTGTTTTTCTTATTTAAGGGCAACATGAGCTAAGTAAGTAGATAAATCTGGAAAGAAAAGGAAGAACTTGTTTTCACCGCATAGCTACTTACCAAGTCCAACAGCCTCCAGTCATTTATAATTCGTGATGTTTGGGGAGTTCTGTATGTGTGTAGTGTTATAAGAGGTGTTGTTGTTCATTTGGTCGTTCGAGCGTGGAAGGGATCTCCCTGGCATATGAACCAAGGCGCAATCACTGTACTGAGCGTGTTAATAAAAGAGAAAAAAAAGCACGGACATCTACACTGTTTCGAGATTCCCCCACTGTCACCGCGCAGCTGCAAGACTGACGGGTTTGACAGCTTGCCTTTGACCTCCGAGAAGCCCTGTGTGTTCCACGACTCTTTCCACAGCACTGCCACCTGCTGTGGAAAGAGTCCTAATTCTTTCCAAGAGCATTGGCTATCTAACTTGGCCACACATTAAGACCTCTTGTGCAGTTTTCTTATGCCTGGGTAGTGTCTTCAGAGTGGCTGACTGGATTGGTGTAGCTGCAGCTTAGGCGTCAGGACCCTGAAAGTCTACCAGATGATGTATTGTGCAGCAAAGGCTCAGAATCCCTGCCCTAGAGATTGGTTCTCAGTGCTTTCCCCTCCACCTGCAGCAGAATTGTGTGGGGCCAAATTTGTGATGCAGCAGATGGGACCAGGGATCCAGGACCCTGTGGAGTAGATACTGTGAGTATCTACTTTAGGGTTTCACAGGGCCCATGAAAACCTACTTACCACAATGGGAACTGGAGCAAGAGAGAAGGCAACCTTCCTTTACCACCCTCGCAAGAAGATCTGACTGAAATGGGACTTGAGAGGCGACTGGCACATGGAAGGACTTAAAATCCAAGAAAAACACTGCTAGATTGTAATAAATTGTACCTGTCCTGGTTTTAGCAAAGAATTGAGACAGCAGTAAGCTAGAACTGATTTCAATTTTCATTGCAACAGATTAAGAAAAAGTTGCACAAATGAACAATTGAGTTTGAGAAGCAGCCTCGAATCTTAGTTTGCACTAAAATCATCTGAAGGGCTTTTAAGAACACAGATTGCTTGTTAAAACCACCAGCGTTTCTGGTTAAAAATGTTCTCAGGCAATTCCAGAACGCCTGGTAGGGACACTGCCCTCTTGAGAACCACTGATTTAGGATGACACCTGCCCCCCCCAAATCTGACAAGTGGGGGCTGTAGGATACAAGAAGAGCTACACATGACATGTAGCGGTTTCTTTTTTACACTGGTATTTTTGAGAGGATTTAGAAGTTTTCCCTGAGTTAAATAAAATTATTAGTAAGGATTAATGCAGAAAGAGCGCAGTTGAGAATCTGGATAGGAGTGCCCGGCCACCACTTTGCCATAGAGAAGACCCAAGGCCACGAAGGAAGAGCCATGTTTTGTGGAGCAAGAACTGAGAAAATCCTGATCATCTGAAAGGATGTGACACGAACCCCAAGGATCCCTGAACTGGAAAGGCAGTCCAAAGAAAAGAACTCAGCAGGCTGTAGCACCAACCTGGCTGCCAAGCTGCCCACTGGAAGCCCACGACTGGCCATCTAACTGAAGGAGGCTGCACTGTAGGTCCTGGTAGGTTTAGATGCAGCTCGGGGACCTGGATGGTCTGAGAGACTGCTCTGCTCTGAAGAAGGAGCCTACATTGGGCCCGCATCCCAGGCGCCCAAGCCCATGCAGTTGCACCAGTCACTGCTAGATGCCATCTTGCCTTAGGGGCTGGTGGCAGGACTCCTGGTGCTGCCGGAAACCTTGGCTGGGTGTACTTCACAGGGCTGAAGACAGGTCCCTCAGCATCCTCTGAGGCTGAGGGTGGCACCCCTGGAAGCAATCATCTACTGTAGAGTCATGATAACTGCTTTCCTGAACTACTGCAGTCTGGGCAGCTGAGACACTCAGATGCTGCCATCAAAGATAAACACATCACCCAGAGACTACACCTTCCAGCTCCTCTGTGGCTAAACCAGAGAACCTACCCAACTGACATTCTATGTCCCATCTAAACAAAGATGTTTCCTTACAAAAGCTATTTCATAGAATTGGAAAAGGTAAACACAGGCATTAAGAGAGGCACACAAAAAACACGACACCTCTAACAGAAACATTAGTGCTCAAGACAGAGATCCCAGTAAGAAGGAAAACGATGAAGTGTCTGGGGAACAATGAAAAATAATGATCCTGAAGAAACTCAGATGCAACAGAGTCCAGGCAGACAGCACAAAGAAATGAACCCAAGGCAACAAGAGAAAAAACATTTTATGGAGATTCAGGATATGAATAAATTCCACCAAAGAGATAGAAATCAGAAAAAAAAGAAAAAAGAAACTATCAGAAATGTTGGTGATGAAAACTTAAATGAAATTTTGAAAAATACAACAGAGAGCTTTTACAACAGACTAGATTAAGAGTTTCTAAACCTGAGGGCAGTTAATTTTGAATTAATCCAGTCAGATAAAAAAAGAATTTTAAAAAATGAAAAAAGTCTACAAGACATATGGAACACCATTAACTGAACAAATATTTGCATTATGGAAATTCCAGAAGGTGATGAAAAGTAAAAGCATTGAAAACCTCGTCATATATACAACAGTAGATAAAACCTTGCCAAATCTTCAAAGAGATATGGACATCCATATCCACATACAAGAAGCTCAAAGGATTCAACTAGATCCAACCAAAACAGAGCTTCACCAAGACTATCATCACTGGAGTGTCAAAAGACCAGACAGAGAACTTGAAAGAGCAAGAGAAAAGCATCAAGTCACACAAAAGGCATGCCCTTAAACTTACAGCAGGTTTCTCAGAAGAAACTTAACAGGCAAGAAGAGAGTGGGATGATATATTCAAAATACTAAAGAAGGAAAAAAAAGACCTTAAAAACCTTCCAGTCAAGAATACTATATACAGAAAAATTATTCTTCAAAAAAGGAGAAATAAAATCTTTCCCCAATAAACAGAAAGCAGAAATTGAATGAATTCATCACTAGATAAGCCCTACAAGAAATGCTTAAAGGAATCCCACAAGGAAAGAAAAAGACACCAACTGTCATGAAAACAAGGAATATAACAACAACAACAAAAGGTACACAAAAAAACTTTCCTGTCAATTATAAGGTTTCAATCAAAATCACAAAAGAATTAAAAAATGTGGAAAAGAACGAAAAATATACAAAATAAGCAAAATACAATTGATAAACTGCAGGAGGAAGTTTATACCTATCTTGAATGTAAGTAGGTTAAATTCACTAAAAGGCAGAGAAGTTGAATGGATTTGAAAACATAAAAATATCCAAGTGTATGTTGCCTGTAAGAAATCCACTTCCCTTGGCATAGATATGCACAGAGTAAAAGTAAAGGATTGGAAAAAGATACCATGACAGTGGAAGCCAAAAATGTGCAGGAGCAGACATACTCAGAGATAAGTCAGATCTCTAATCAAAAACTAGAGAGACAAAATCTATCACAATATATTGAGGAAACAGATCAGTTCGGCAAGAAGAAATAGCAATTGTAGATACATATGCACCCACCACTGGATCACTCAAATATATAAAGCAAATATTACCAGATATAAAGGGAGAAATCAACTCCAATACAATAACAGCTGGGGGTTCAGCACTCCTCTTTCCTCACAGAAAGATCATTCAGACAGCAATCCCACAAACATCTGGTTGGTATCATACTCTGGAGCAAATGGGCCTGACAATTTCATCTAACAGCAATAGAGTATATATATTCTTATCAGCAAATAGAACATTCTCCAGGATAGAATATAATATACAAATCTAGTCTTAGAATTTTTTTTAATTAAAATAATATCACGTGCTTTCTCAGATCACAAACTGCAAATTAGTAACAGTAAGAATGGATAATACAAAAATACATGGAAATTGAAGAAAATACTCCGAAATGACTAATGAGAAGTTAAAGAAATTAAAAATAAATTTAAAATGTTCCAGAAACAAATGAAGATGGCCACATATCAAAATCTGACAGCAAAATCAATACTAAAGAGGAACACTGATATTAACAAGTACAGACACTAAA